TTTGACTTGAGCATCAAGGGAGGCCAGTCTACGTAGCTTCTGGCCATTTCCTTCATACGGTTTATTCCCGGGTGTCCGATGTGGAATTGCTTCAAAACTCTCGATTGATGTACCTTGAAAACCACCACTCGTCCTGTACAAAGTAGGCAGCCGTCGACAATTGACAGGGAATTGCGACGTTGATGAAACTGCTGTAGTTCATTGTTTTCTGGCCATTTTGATCTGTAGAAACGGAACATTTGCTGCAGCAGGAGGTCATGTGCTGTTGCAAGACTTATCTGAGAAGCTGTTACTGGGATGGCTTTAATTTCATCTGTAACAGCGCAACGAACTTCAGGCTCGATCGAGATTCTTGCCACTACGAAGTCCTCTTGTTCCTATCGATCTTTCTCCATGAGGCATGATAAAACCTCAGCCTGACCAGTCTTCCCAGTCGATTAGTACTTGATTTTGAAATCATCTAAAATCACTGTGGTCCACCTCTGAAGGAGATTTGCTGTGTACACGGGAATGCACTTCTTGGAACCGAAGATAGCAAGTAGGGTCTTGTGATCCGTGCCCAGAGTAAAATGCCGGCCTTAAAGCATTTTGTGCAATTTCCTAATAGCGTAGATGATTGCGAATGCCTTTTTCAATATGATTATGGTTGCGTTCTGCGAGCGCCAACCCTCGGACGGCATGAGCCAGGAAAACAATGAGACAACCGCGCCGACTCCGCACTTAGACGCATCTGTATCAACAATGATATACAAGCTCGGATCGTATTGAGTCAACAGCAGATATGACGATAGCATGGCTTTGATGCTATCAAAAGCTTGACTGCATTCCGTGCTCCAACACCACTTGGAATGCTTGAGAAGTTACGCGTTTAGTGGACCCCGTATATCATGCATTGCTGGCAAAAGTGCACTGTAGTGACTCACCAATCACAAGAACGATCGTAGCCTCGTCACATCATGTGGTGAATGTATTTTCTGAATAGCCTCAATATTAACTGGGTCTGCTTTTCGACCGTGTTGATCGATGATGAATACCAAGTATTTTAACGAATCCATGTAGGAAACGGACTTTTCTTCCTTCAGGCGAAAGCCATAATCTTGACTTTGATGAAGCACGTTTTCAATCCAGTTTTTCAGATTCAACAGATCAGTGCCTATGATAACTATATCGTCAAGGTGCGCTGCAACGGATGGCACGTCCTGCAACATGACGTTAGGAGGAGCCACACACTAACCTCTCCACATAGAGAAAGTATTTGCCTCATCATTGAGTCTAATTTCATTCTTCCATGCGGTAAATCGCGCGTAACTGCAATTAGCCCTTTAAATGGTATCTGATGCCTCTATTTAACATACCTAACTCACACGACTTAATCCATGGAATCATTTGCCCTACGCGTTGTTTTCTGTTACACCTTTGTGAAACGAGCGAGTGCAGTTTACTTCATATTTACTAGAACTGTTTTTCGCAGATTGAGATTCACACCAAGCTCGATGTTTACTGAGTCATTGTTGACCCATGCCATAGCTCACTCCACCCGGTTACCATAGCTCTCGTCACCGTGATGCTGTCCAATAATAACAGTTGCTGGGATGAGGAAAACATGCAAACAAACTTGAGGGCAGAAATACAAGGGAAACGGTTTTATCGTTTGTGGTATCATCAGTGCACCAGTACTAGGGATTCATGCTTTACTGCCATGCAGTTGTAAGCGGCTGTGCGCAGGCTGAAGTATTGCAGGGGCGCCCAAACCTATGCAAGGACTGGAACTCGAAAATAGGACATGAAGGCTGCAAGCCAAATGCCTAAGCCAATACGCCACAAATCCTGAGGGTCAAACGAAACAAAAGATTAGTCATCAAATGAGAAGATTAGCAGCGCGAATCGGTAAACCGAATGCAGTAGCATCATTGACTTATGTGAAAGAGGTATCTAGTCACCCATGTGGCCGCCTACAATATCCTCATCCGGGAAGATGATGTGTACCAATCCAAGCAAGTCATCGGATCATTCTCTCTATCTTTTCACCATACCATCGTTTGAACACCACAGCCTCATATAACTAGGCGCTATTTCGGAAAATAAGACACCGAGGTAACTAGTTGACAGACATACAAAGAACGCGGTTCAGCCATTGTAATCGACTCAAGAGCGAATGGAAGCCCAGTTATACACCAAAACGTCAGATGAAAGTAGCGCTCCGCAGGTGCCAATGGACAAACCGATACCCTCACGTTGTCTTCAGCGCGCGGTGACCATACCTCACTCCACGTAGAAGTACTAGTCGCACACCAGCGGGGTCGCAAGCTGCCTTCGCAGTTTAGCTCTTGCCTGATGCAAACACCATGTGAGCAATGAGCGTGTTCGATGTCTTGTTTATGGCACAGGAAGAGGAAGTGAACTTCTCAGCACGCTTATTTCACACACCAGACCCCGATGGCCCGGTCACGTGTTGTGCATGCCAGCCCATCGATTCCCGCGACGTGCGTTGTTTTCGCGTCATGCGTATGGATGGAAGAAGAGGAGAGATAACCAAGCAATGACTTCTTCAAGAGCAATGAAGGCCCTCGACTCGGGGTTGGCCTCAGTCGGACTCTGTAGGCTTTCTGGTTGGCGTCCGAGGGACTATGAACTCGTTTAACTGAATACACCTGTTGACATGACAAGGAGCCGACCTCAGTGGCGTTTGTGTTATGTGTTCCTTTGTCCCTCCCCGTCACCCTTCAATCACGATCTCGTTTCCTTGGCGTAATATACTTCCTTCTGCGACACAGCCGGCTGGCAGCTCTCCGGAACGATGCCCATCCGTTACTGGCGGCCCACATGGCGTGTTATCGCATGTTTATCTCCTGAGGTCTTTTCCAATTCTAGCTAACGTTGTAATGAATGAGTGCATGTTGGCAAGCTAATATTCTATCTCCATAAGTGAATATAGCTCTGTATAATCACAAGATATTCGTGGTTTACACTGCAAATTCCTCTTTAGCTTGACTTGCATAGGTTGTACGACTACCTCAATTATCAAACCAATCGACAACCCCTCATATTTGGTCCATAGCCAAAAGAATCGGTGGCTCTACCGTTAAGCTCCTCGAAATTGATTTACTCAGCACCTAGCGTAACGTAAAAATCCATTTTAACTTATCTAGCAGCGTTCGTACTGGCTTTAGCGCGGGGGGTGCCAATGTAGTGCGTTGGGGAACCGTTTGAAGTAGCGGCCGCTAGCACACTTTTCACAGTAGTTTAAGACCACGAAGCAAACGCAGATTAAGTTTGTTTGAGAACATACGCTACGATAGTAGCTTTCAGCGAGTGCCTTGAAGCTGATGCGCCCGACTAGCTAATAGTGACTAACCGAACCGGCAACGGCGCAAGCGGAAGCGGATGCCGTCCTAAATGCAAGCGGCGCGAATATGCATCGAATTACTGTACCAGGTACGGACAGGTCATGATCTAACGAAATTCTCACTTCGCATTGTAAACCATGCATTTTTGTGTTATTATCTCACCGCGTCACAAGCGATCGAAGAACTACTTCTAGTTTTGAATGCACCATTAGATATGAATGATCTCTATCCTAACTCGTTTCCCAGTTATTAGTTTGAAGGATCTGTTTGACAATTTTCGTGTAAACAGGTATCTTTTTCTTCCATGGAATGGTGCAGATTTAATGTTCCGTCGGTCCGACGTTCCAAGATCTTCGGTGTTCAAGTAGTGCGGCAAGCTGCAATGCAAAATAAATACCTTGTAGACGGCTGTAGACTCGAGCCGCCTAGTAAGAGGCCGATTTGAAGGTAGCAGCTAAGAATGCACGGAAGAGGGAAGGGAAAGTGCCGGAGTGCAATAGGCAGGTAAGGGTAACAGGAAGCGAAACCGATCGACCTCTTACCTGTTAACGTGTTACCGTGACGCCCGCTGACTGGCTACACAGCAACAGCACTTGTCCTCTTCAAACGAACCCCTTATTCGTTTTCAGTAGTGGTACAAAAAGTGAAACCGAGATTTTCTGTACTGTCCTTCCTTATTCCCGGAACTGAAAAGTGTATGAGCATTTGGAGAGTTTTACCATTTCCTGAATTAATGTTTGTACATCAAAACTGTGGTCCGCTCTGTGGAGGTTTTCTGTCATAACTTTCAGCTTTTCCCGAAACAGCGTACGGTTTGTCCTGCTACACTTGTCTACCATAAATTTAAAACCTCTATTCTATATTTGCTCGTATACGCAAACGGGAGATGACTTTAACAACGCTACACCCACACTAAGTGGCATATAAAACTGTGCCATAATTGAATGATCCGCATGACGGACCGGGCTGAGGCTTCATCGCCCATAATACATGCATAAAAGCAGCCCCAAAAAGACACAACATATGATAAACAAGTGATGGCTCATATGCTACTTTGCCATACCGGCACGCGGCCAGGTAAAGCATGGAAGTGCCGGCGAAACCTTTCGAGGGAATAACGTGTATGGAATCAGGTCCCCTGGGGACGGTTTCACTGGTGGTTGTGTTACTTTTGCTGAACATTTGTTTACATCTGCATTTGTTATTGTTCCTGGCTTTTCAATTTCTTTAATACCTTAAACCTGCCAATTACTTTAATATCCGTTTTGGATTCATTGTATAAAGCGTGAACAATTGAGTATTTTGTGCGATCCTGCTGCACACATTGATCAGACCACATGGTTAGATTGTGCCTCGCATCGCCGAGGAAGGTGCCATTTATTTATTTTATTCAAACGTTTTGGCTAGTCGGCTTTTTCCGGTGGTCTTTAAGCTGATCGATATCTTAACCAGCGTGAATTTTTAGCATGCCAAAATCATGTTACTGTACAATTCTTGTAACATTTAGGTACCCGGTCGATCTTTTGTTCCTGAAGATTGGCGATGTCCTGACGAACTGTCTCCGCATGTTTCTCTGAATACGGCTAGTTCCAATATCTGTGTAAACCAAAACGCGTTTGATGAAGACCATGTTTTATCACCAGACCAGTATGAATGGCATATAGATTACTCTACGTCAACAATTTCTGCATTACTACACACCAGTACGACCGTTTCTTCGAAGTTCGACAGACCAAGTTGTGCATCCAATTCCAATAGAGACGTACTATCCGCACTCAGATCTTCTCTGCAATGCTTGTCAGTTCCTGTAACTAGCGGTGATCAAGAGAGTGAATCGCACAATTCGTCAGAGGAAGCTCATTTGTCTCCAAGGGGCCATCAGCAATGTCCGGGCACACCTACAGAGACCTACGGCGTGCTGTTGAGGGACTGCCTTGAGAAACCTTCGAGACAAACGTTCGTAGGCGTGAGTGTTAACTTTGGCACTTTTGACCGTGGCCACACAACTGTACTGTCCTTTTTTTGAATCTTTGGCGCTTTCTCTGAAACACACCTAATGAGGGTCGGAATTTTGCACCAACATGTAGTCGGCGCTTTAGCTGAACCGAGATCACTGGTGGATTAGGCCGTGATTAAATTGGCTCACTCCTGCTTCCATTAACATGGTGCTCATACTTGGGGATGCTGCAATTCCCTTTCTGTCCCTCTATCAAGGGGCATATTTTCTGAATTGCTAAATTAACACTTCTATAACCCTCTCCCATTTATCCGTAAATCACACTTAAGGATTTTATATTTAGCTCGCAGGACAACCCGCTGGAATCTCAGGTTTTTACTGCATACCAATTCGTTCTATTCTCAAGCTCCTAAATCCAATACTGTTGACCACATATCGCTTTCACTGCTTGTAACACCTTGTATTTAACGGAATACACACATTTCAAGCTGCCGGATAATCCCTCATGTGAAATATGGGTGGCCTACGTGGATGATTATCCTTTCTTCTCACAGTCTGTCTCCTCACACCAAATGGGAAGCAGAAAACGCTTTTCACCCATTTCAAGTCACGCGGTATGTTTCTATTCTCTAGTTGCGCTTACCACTGTAAATGGCAAACCACATACTACTTCGGAGACCTTCCATGAGTATGTATCTTTATATGGTGTAATGGTCTTCGTGCCTTTATGACCCATTGAACTACACTGCCTATTACTTCTCTAGTCACTCTGTTGCCAGCCAAAATTAAGGTTCACTGGTTGTATGAAAGGCAAATTCAGTCTCAGAGTCTCCTTCGTTGAAAGTCTGCGGAAGGTAGGTGAGCTCCCTGTAAAACCCAATCCTGAACGAAGTCGCCCTAATGACGCTACGTTCATTGCTTTGTGTATCGTACTTGGGCAACGTGTCGTACCCGTAGGTACAAGATCGTATCTACTGCTTGCTGGCTTGCAGTCTCCTCATCTTCAGAATAGGCACCCCTGAATAGTCAGGTGTTGTTACTTTAGATCATCATGGTCACAGTTGTATTCTCTGCTGCAGTCGAAAAAACGCGTGTAATGTTTTGAATGGTTTAAACGCGTGTAATCTTTTGAATGTTTTAAACGCGTACTTGGCCGGTCAGTTTTGGCTTTCTCGCAACTGCTGTCTTTCCTCAGAGTTGAGTCCCCCCACTGCCTTGTGGGCCAGATTACTGAGTCATAGTCTAGTATTGAAGACCTGATCTGAAGAATCTCTTGCATCAAGTTAGTGATGTGGCCGCAATACAAGTTTATACACAACTGTTTTGTGTTTCAAATCTTCCGATATTGCGAACATCTCTTGTACTGAACAGCCGATGAGTGTCATCTGCCTACGAAGCTCCTACACCAGCGATCTTTCCTCTGTGTTTTCCTTAGCCTGATGCTATTCATAGCGATGCAACATATACCCTTGATACACCGGAATTGTCCTTCATAGTTTAAGTTGCATTTTTCATTGGGTCTTTCGAACTTTGAAAGCGCAATAAAGTAGCACATTTCAACAGATTAAATTGAGTTCGCCTATTTCGCGTTTTCCCAGCAGGTGTTTACGTACAGGTTATGGAATGACTACGCTGCATACGGAGACAGTTAGCATGCAGTTCATTGGTGAAAGTTCAAGCGGTCAAAGGCTATTGGACCCACGTGCATTCCCTTTGGATGAAAACGTCACTCTGCACGTGAGCTCAACAACCATTGACCGTCCTAAATTTTGCTATTTAATCGCACGTTATCTGTCTCAGTATACTACCTCCCGAGTGCCGGGCTGTCGACTGCAGTTCTGGGGTCCTAAGGGCGATTAACACATTTACTTTGATACATTTATTGACATGGCAAAGAGCCGGCCCCAATGACGTTTGTGCTATGGGTTTCTTTCTCCAACCCCCATCCCGCTTACGTTACATCTCCAACCACGTTCTCACACATGATGCGTAGTATGATACCGAGCATCATATTACTATTTTGTTTTATATTTTATTCTGCAGTGTTCTGTGTCTTGCTTCCTCATATATCTTTTTTATATTGCGGCGCATTGGCTGAAGAGTGTTTCTCACCTTCAGCTAAAGTGTACTGTATGTAAGTGCGTCTCTGTATGTAACTTAATCATTCCAGAACTTGTATGTAAACACCTTGTAGTGTAGTGGTGATTGGACCTAGACTACCGCACCAGAAGGAACGAATCAATGTCAGAAAGGAAAGGTTAACGCTGACCTTCAGATGTTACCGACTTGGCTAATTACCTTAATTCCCACTTCCAAACGAAATAGTCGGACGATGGTATTCCAAAGTGTTGGTTCGACGAAGCTCCAACTTCCCAAGCAAACAGACGAAATAAGGACGTTTTTACCACATTGTTGAATCAAAGGCACGGCCATTGCATCTTTACTGATGAGTATTGAGGATTTTTGTTGTACTTTAGGTAATTCATCATAGTCACTCTCAATCAGTAGGCCTAGGCTAGTCTGGCAAAGCACCAGACACCGGCGTTTCGACTTTCTGGGTCTCGTCACTGGCACCCATTCCAGCAGACCCCTAGCTCTTGAGGCTAGCCACTGTCCTCTGCACAATTCATAGTTTGCATAGCAGCGGAAGATGAGCCTGGCTAGATCATGGTCGACTATCAATCACGCAGGTCCGTGACTGTCACCCGTGGCGAAGTGGCACTAGCTGCTGTCATCCTGAAGTCATAGGGGCGGAACCCGGCAGGTGTCCGCTAAAAGGCGTACCACTGAGGAGACCCAGAAGGTTGAAACGCCGGCGCCTGGTGCTTTTCCAGACTAACCTAGGCCTTCTGATTGAGAGTGACTATGTTAAATTAGTTGAATCATTGCATCTTTAGCTTGCCACGTGTTGTACTGCGTCGCCTGCGGTACTGCTGCCTACGGTCCGCTTTTTCTGATGTCCAGTCCGCCATAAAATCGAAAGCCAAGACTCGGCAGAGAGTGTGTATTCTGTGAACATCAGTGGTTCTATTTCTAGGTAAACCAAACTTCAAATTATGGCAATCTTGAGTCACCCATCGTCGGCGTCCTGTCTTCAGCCAATGTGAACGCATTCCGTTTAGCCTCGGTTACCATATTTGGCCGTCTGCGTCAGGGTATGCCCCTGTTCACTCAATCGACGTTTACCTGAGTTCGGGAGCCACTCACACCGCAACTGTGTTACATGTTTGGTCGGCTGATTACATGTCAGAGTACAATCTCATTCACACGATCAATTCTCAAACGGCCGACACCTACGCGACTTTGCCAGCGTTTTTACTTTGTTGACTCAAGAGCACGGCCATTGCGTCTTTAGCTTGATCCGGTAGCTATGGTTCACATTCTTAATTGCCACGCTTACACATACTTGCGCACCGCGTATCTCTGTCACCTAATTTGATGCAAGTCGAGATTCTCACTCTTCAATGACGTTGCATCCTCGCTCTCTTGTGGATCACTCAATTCCTGCTTCTGACAATCACCGATCTTTCTTCACTCTGCGTTATCTTCTATCCCGTTGATATCGCAGATCTGTGATTTCTTTCGCGCACTCTATTACAACGACGTGGTTACTCCACAATTGTGTGCACTAAAGTGAGCCATCCACTAGTTTAATTCGTTACTTGCTACCTAAACCCTGCTGGTTACTCTAGTAGATTTTCAGCCTTTACTTAAATTACCCTTCCATTTGAAGTAAGTGGCGAGTTGTTGCGTCAATGCACCCGTCAAGTTTTATATGACCCTGTAATGATAACCTGTCCTTACTAGATGTTGAGTTGACCCCCGATACCCGCAATGAGTTTTCTACCAAATATCCAGTGCCTAAACTCGACATGTTGGCAATATTGGCGCAAGTATCCGATGGCTGTGGTTACGTTATGCTTGCTCCCTGGCTACTGATCATCTTTCCTCTCTGATGCGTTTCTAGTCATCGATGGGTCGGTGTCGTGATATCAGTCCACGTTCAAGTCCTCTACCCCCATTTTGTTGTACCCACGTGTACCAGATTGTCATGAGTCGAATTGGTTGCATGCCCAATTTTGTTTACTTTTTGTTCTACGTTAAGCACAAATTATAAATGCAATAAATGGAGGAAATTGACACTGATTGTGCTTGATTTGGGCTTGGGGTGCTGCGGCTAATTCATGCTTACGCCTGCGGATGTGGCTAAGATTTCTTTTGGCGTACTTGAAGTTCTGTGTGGGAAACTTTGTGGCACCGTACACACAAAGGAAACACAGGGTGTACCATTCGCCGTCAGTCGTCTGTGCTTCTTTAATTGTTGACCACCTTTAATGTGATGTATCGATCTGATTTTTGTCCAAGAATAGGTTCATGTTCTCTTCTCTAATTTAACGCACCGCTGTCGTCCTACTATACCCGTATGCTACCCAACCTTGTAGCTATTGATTTACTGCTTACCAAGTCGGCTAGCACTGGGGTTATCATAGGTAACCTGATTCTCGCTTGCTCATCTTTCATGTTCCAGTACCGGGTTTGTTGTGGATGTACTTCTGCCGAATTTTGTCACAAGTACAGAGCGCTCTACCTGCGCTTGTCACATTTGCTGTTCCCGATACTGTTGGCAATGAACCGAGAGCACAACTCGCAGTTTCTATCATAATGTCTCCACCTTTTCCTTTGCTTAAGGAAGATCGGTGATTCTCCCCAGATTGCGAAGCTTCAGATTGGAGTGGTTTCTCGTGTGTGGCTTCAGAACTTGTTGGCTGGACTTCAACGACTAACAAATGCGGATGCTGTGCCCAAGTCTGGTGCAACATGCACAGTCACATGTGGCAACTCTTCTCCCCTGAATCCTATTAGTGGAACAGACCGACCGGGTTTCACTCGCGAACATAGAGCCACTGGCACCACTAAGACGCGAAGGAGTGCGTCGTCTCGAAGAGCTTCCCCGATGTCACGCGAACGTTTCGTGCCTTCATGCAACACCAGTCAATTGAATTCCAAGTTTCCCATCTTTGTCCCTGTTGACTACAAATCCGCCCATGGAGTTACACGACCTTTCAGACTACGACCTGAAAGTAACTCTGGTATCAGGAGCTCCAAGCAATTATCGCATAAGGTAGTTCACTGCGTTTCTGTGTTATTAAACCTCTTGACACTTCCACTCACATGCGGATCTAGTTGTCGCGCTTCCCAAATTTAGTCCTGTTATGTCCACCATATTATTCATGTTAGGGCATTCCAGCTCGTCATCATATCCACTATGTGATTGCTCATGCAATCCCTCTCATTACGTTTGGGCCACATGCCATTCTTCATGCGTACCCACTTTTTGTCCATTTAGTGGAAAATGCAGCGAATGCGATCCTTCACTCGTGTTTATTCTCCCAACGTAACGTTATTGAGTGTTGGATGGTCTCGTCGTCTGCTAAAGTTCTTTGGGCTCCGCGAAGCCAATATCCGGCCTTTACTTGCGCTCTACGTACACCTTGTTTTTAGGTTGGCTGTGATTCGCCGTTTCATTATACTTCTGTTTGTCTCGCAATGAAAATGCGGACAAGTGGAGGTCTTGAATTCTACTAACTCTTTCATGTCAGACGGTCTCTGCCTGTTTCTTGCATTTTTATATTGGTTTATCCTTCGTTTCACTGGCAAAGTACCAGCTTCGGATTGTTTGAAATGGTGCTTTTCTGATATCAAACTACTGTACTTGTCAACGCAATTCGATTCTGACAAATCCCGCAAGCTAGAAAGTAAGAGCCTAGTTACCGATTTGATATACACATAGGCAAGGCACTATGTGCGGGGAAACGTACTACTTACGTTTTACATGAGCTATTAATGTTTTTCTTCGTACTCTTTCGATTAACACTGTACGATTCTGAGCTATGGTTGTTCGCAACCAACAGTAGGGGATTACGAAGTAACTACTTTCGGAGTTTCATCCATCGATACCCTAAGTGTTTTATTAAACTATCTCAGTAACTCACAACCCAGCTCAATGAGTATCAACTCAGAAAAGCACCACACGGCTGTTTCGTCTTATTGGGTGTTGTCAGTAGTACGCATGCCTCCTCTCCATCGGAAATCGAACCCATAAGCATCAGGGGCTTGCTGCACCAGCTAGCTATGTGAGACGATGGCAGACCGTCATAGCTTGTAAGAAGAGCGCGATATAGCGCAACTCATCCTCCCCTGCCATAGAGGTTACAACCTTTACGGAGGACCTTGGGCGACTTTTAGAGGTCACGACTTTCACTAACAACAGCTGTGTACGCTTTGCAAATTATGACGCTCTGCCATTGTCTCCCATGTCTCAACGACATAAGCTGCTGACTGGTGATGCAACCCACTAGCGATCGTGGGTTCGATCCCCCCGAAGGGGACCGATGGAATGCACGCCACTGACCAGCCCAACTAGGGCGAAACGATCGTCTGGCGCTTTTCCGCGCGGGTGGTCAGGTACGCTGGATTGTGAGCTTCCGGGATAAAACCATAGCATTTCCTGAAAAACGCCGCCTTCTCGCCAATATTCCTGGGAAGTTGTTATTCCTAATAAAGCAACTGATGCACCCGCAATGCTTGTCCGTTTTCATTATTCTTATAAAAGGGACAAAATACTGACTTTTACCACGACATCGTTGTTGCTATACCGCAATTGCTAGCGGCCTCTAGCATGATCTCGTTCCTTTGATCATGCGGATGGTTTTTCTTTTTCTATGAGGATTGTCCTGTTCTCCGAGCCGGTCATTTCTGTTGCAGGCGTTTCGTTACCAAGCACAGCATCATCCCCGCTCTGAGTCACAAAGTGGAAACCAACATATTCAGTGTAAGCGAACGAAAGGCACTGACAAACCTCAAAAGAGACAAGACTTTTGTTATATTACCAGCCGACAAGGGACGTAACAATGCACAAAACTGACTACATGAAGAAAGCACAAGAACTGCTCGGAGATGTAAACACCTACCAACCGATAAGTGAAGACCCTACAAAACGTCTGGGAAGCAAGATCAAAAAACTCTTCGAAGACTGGAACAAATGGGACAGATCACGAAGTTAGAACACAGCAAGATGAAACCCGAGGATTCAATGCTACCACGGTTCTACGGCCTACCTAAAGTACACACAAATGGGGTACCGCTTCGCCCTATCGTGTCATTACCCGGGGCACCAAATTACAAGCTGTCTAAGGAACTTTGGAAACGGTTGAAACATCTAATCGCAGGCTCAGAGCACTCAATTCAGTCGGCAGAACAATTCCTTGAAAAACTTAAGGGAATAACGATAGAAAGAGACGAGATACTGGTCTCCTTTGACGTTACAGCTTTGTTCACATCAATTGACACGACGCTGGCGAGGCAAACAATGAGGACTCTTCTTGCACAACAAGGAGCAGTAAATACCCGCAACCGAATTGAAGCCACACAAATCATGGAGTTGCTTGACTTCTGTCTCGCCACACATTTCACTTTCAATGGTCAAACGTACAAACAGATAGCGGGTACGGCAATGGGATCGCCAATCTCTGGACTGGTAGCAGAGGCAGTGATGCAAACCTTAGAACAGAAGGCATTGCCAATAGTGGAGCCCAAACTTTGGGTACGTCACGTAGACGATACTTTTGTCATCATCCAACGCTCCAGACTACAAGAAACGCATCAACTAATCAACAATGTTTTTTCCGGCATCCATTTCACCAAAGAGGAAGAGAGCAATGATCAGTTGCCATTCTTGAACGTGCTCGTGAGAAGACATGCTTCTGGGTCACTGGAAACAACAGTTTATCGGAAAGCGACCCACACCGATCAGATCTTAACCTGTCGCAGTAACCATCCGGCCATATACAAACGAAGTTGCGTGAGGACGCTTTTCAAACGGGTCCAGACACACTGTAGTACGCCACAACTGAGGAAGGCGGAGGAGGACCACCTATTTAGCATGTTTCAGCGAAATTCGTACCCTAGAAGATTTATTCTACTCTGCCTTATGTCGAAGAGCTAGTCACAACCCGCGTCCACATGTGCAACAGAAAGAAGAACGATTATCCTACCTTACATCCATGGGATTTCTGAAATGGCAGCGAGGTTTCTAATGCCTCACGGGATAAATGTTGCACACGAGGCAACGGAAACCATACGAAGTAAACTTTTAAGGTAAACGATAAACTGTCTAGGAAAGAAACGTCGGGTCTAGTTTGCAAAATTTCCTGCAAGAACTGTGACAAGTACTATGTAGGCCAGACTGGAAGAAAACTTGGCACAAGATTGCACAAATATAGTCTGGCCATCCGTTGTTACGATGAGAATTCCCTAATGTCAGTACACATGGACACCGAGAACCATCAGTTCGATCTGGAGAATGTTGAATTTCTTGGAAGAGCAAGAAACCGCAGAGCGCGTGATTTCCTCGAGGCCTGGCACTCTGGCCGGAACTCAATCAACAAACACCTGGAGCTGGAGGGTGTCTATGAAGCTCTACAGATTAATCCAGCAATAGTCACCGGATCGACAAGGAGAAGACGTACCATTTCGACAGACTCACGTGAACCGATCGAAGACTGACATTCGAAGCAGGCAACAATCAGTAGTCATTCTCATCTAGCATTGGTTTGCCAGACCGCGAATCAGGACTGAATAGCCGCACTGAAGATGTTGCCTAGTTTGGTAACGAAACGTCTGCAACAGAAATGCCCGGCTCGGAGAACAGGACAATCCTCTCATTCACACCCCGAGCTACAGGCATTCTCAATAATTTTCGCTTTCTTTTTGGCCATTCAAATCATTATTTGCTGATGATGTAGATAATGCTTATCATCATCGGGCTTCCGTTGCCGTACCTTTGCATCACACGGCAGTAACTGTTTCGATTGCAAGCGTTATGTATATAACTTTATACCCAATTGGCGGCCACTATTCCTTTCTTCGCTTAGCTGCGCGTCCTCCCTCTTCACTGCCTTCCTCGCTTTTTTTGCCTCTGCATCTGCATGCTACCCACGCCCTGCGTTGCTGTTCGTTGTATTTCGCTGCGACTATTTCCCGCCTACCAAAGCTTGTATTTTCTAGACTTTTCAACAGGTCCCATCAGTAGTTTACCAACACCATGTTCCTAACCTGAATTCTAGCGGTCATTACTGGGAATTGTTCCATAACGCCGGATTATCATTATGATATGGAAGTAAGAATGCCAATTTAAATGAGATCGCTCCTCGCTTGAACTGACATGCATTAACGCGCGCACTTTGTTGCACATCATCGAACAGGCAGCACTTGCCCGAGCATCGGAGATCATATCTACTGTTGTACTTTGTAATCCACTTACATGACAATGGTAGCACTTTCTCAATACGTCTATCAGGAGGGAATTTGGCTTTGATTACCGATCGAGATAGCTTTGAGTCCCCACGGGCTGCTTCTCTGATCGACTGAATTCCAGTCCGCAGCGGGATATTCGCCGTCAGATCGGCTAGCTCGTTCAAAGCCACAAAGTCTTGCGAGGACCACAGGTGTCCGTTTGCTCTTATAGCAGCCTGCAGATCTCCCGTTATGCCTGAATTCGCCTGCGGTACTGCTGCCACGGTCCGCTCTGCCTAGCATCCAATCCAACCGCGAAATTAAGAATCAATTATTGATGGACGGAATACATTCTATGAAATTGACGGTTTTTTTATAGGTCTACCACATATTCTAATTATGGAAACCACGATCTCCACACCTTTGACGTCTTGGCCTAAACCAATGTAAACGCTTTCTACATGCCTGTTTCGTCGTATTTGACCATTTGTCCGCTTCAAGGCACGACTCTCGTTCACTCAATGAACAATCACTTTACACAGGTTAAGTTGCACTGCTTTACAAGTCCCGTTGGGTGATCTAGTGAGTTATCAGAAACTGTTAATGAAAAAATGCAGTTAGTAGTTCGACTGTCAAAAGAATGCACTTATCATATGTAATGCAGTAGCCATACACTCCGATTATTTCCGTAGCTTTAACAGGCGAAAAAATAAATCCAAGGTATTTCCGGGAGTAAGATGGAGAATAGTGTCAAGTAGTAAAATGTAAGTGGCGGAGTGCGTCCTCCAACGAACTTTTACATATAGCTAGTATAAATGCACAAACAAT